GGGAGGCTGAGGCAGGAGAATCGCCGGAACCCAGGAGGCGGAGGTTGCAGTAAGCCAATATTGCACCATTGTACCTCAGCCTAGACAGCAAGAATGAAACTCCATCTCAAAAAAAAAAAAAAAAGAACATACAAATGGCTTTTAAACACATGTAAAGATGCTCAGCTTCACTCATAATTAGATAATCCAAAAATGTAGCTACAATGAAATACCATTTTTGCCTATGAAACTGGAAAATATAAAAAAAAGTTTGTAATACTCTGAGATGGTAAAATTAAAGGGGAAACAGCTTTCTGACCTATACATTATTGCCTCTTAGGAGAGCAAATTGGCAATATTTATGAAAACAAAATACGCATGTTCCCTTTGACCCAGAAATTACACTTTTAGAAATTTATCCTGCAAGGAAAAAAAAAAAAAGAAATTTATCCTGCAAGAATACTTATACATGCACAATGGCATACTTAGAAAGTTACTAATTACAGCACTCTCTGTAACAGCAAAAGCTGAGGAGAAAATGTCCATTGATAGGTTAAATCCAAAACTGAAAACTAAGGAACTGTGAAGGAAAAAAAGAGGCACTTCATTCTATATTCATTCATGTGGAATGAATCTTAAGACGCAAAGCAAAATGGGCCAGGCACAGAGAAGGCTCATGCCTGTAATCCCAACAGTTTGGGAAGCCAAGGCAGGCAGATCACCTGAGGTCAGGAGTTCAAGACCAGCCCTGCCAACATGGTGAAACCCTATCTCTACTAAAAATACAAAAATTAGTCGGGTGTGTTGGCGGATACCTGTAGTCTCAGCTACTTGGTGGCAGGAGAATTGGTTGAACCCAGCGGGTGGAGGTTGTAGTGAACCAAGATCGCACCACTACACTCCAGCCTGGGCAACAGAGCAAGACTCCATCTCAAAAAAAAAAAAGAAAAAAAAACAGCCCAGACACGGTGGCTCATGCCTATGATCCCAGCACTTTGGGAGCCTGAGGTGGGTAGACCACAAGGTTAGGAGTTCGAAACCTGACCAACATGGTGAAACCGCATCTCTACTAAAAATACAAAAGTAGCCAGGCATGGTGGTGCATGCCTGTACTCCCAGCTTCTCAGGAGGCTGAGGCAGGAGGATTGCTTGAACCCAGAGGCGGAGGTTGCAGTAAGCCAAGATCGTGCCACTGCACTCCAGCCTAGGCAACAGAGTGAGACTCAAAAAAAAAAAAAAAATGCAAAGCAAAATGTACAGTGTGTTACCACTTCTAAACAAATCAAAGTGATTCGTATTTATATGCACAGGGTATCTATGGAAAGAGACACAGTAATAATAGCAGCTCCATGTGAGGAAGATAGCGGAATAGCTAGAGAAAGAACACTCAGGATATAGACTTTTTTTCAGTGTTATATACTTGCATAGTCACTGAATTGTGTCATGTCTGTGTATTACCTATTTCTAAGAAAAGTATGTTTTAAATTTAAATTTTTTTTTTTTTTTTAATAAGATGGGGTTTCACCATGATGGCCAGGCTGATCTTGAACTCCTGACCTCGGGTGATCCACCCACCTCGGCCTCCCAAAGTGCTAGGATTACAGGCGTGAGCCACTGCGCCCAGCCAAATTTAAAACTTTTAAATTAAGACCAAATCTATCTAAAAAACATTTCTGTTGGGATTCTCAAAATTTTAAAGGAAAACCCTAAAAGTCAAGCCATTGTCAAACACTACCTTTTCAAACTATCAATTATGAAAAGGCATTGCCCAAACTAATGATATAGCATGTCTTCAGGGAAGAACTACATTTTTGTGCAGTGGTGATCACAGCTCATAGCAGCCTTGAACTCTTGGACTCAAGTGATCCTCCCACCTCAGCCTCCTGAGTAGTTGGGACTACAGGTGTGTTCCACCACACCAGGCTAATTTTTTTATTTCTTATATTTTGTAGAAACAGAGTCTCAATATGTTGCCCAGGCTGGTCATGAACTCCTGGCCTGATGCTATCCTCCCACCTCGGCCTTTGAAAGTTTCGGGATTACTGGTATGAGCCACAGGGCCCACCCCCTCAAAAAGTATTTTGTTATAATAGTCATTTAAGTAAAAGATAAATTTCATTTACTTTTAGCTGTTTTAAAGGTAATCTGAAATGTTATTTATAGTAAAATGATCTATTGATTAATGCCCACTGCGTATCTGAGACTTTTTCTATTTAAATTTCATCATTTTCCTGTTTTTAATAATTATAGATTTTTTTTTTCCCTCTTCTTTTCAACTTTTATTTTTCTAATTTTGCCCCATTCCCTCTTGTATATCTCAGTTCATTCTACCTCAGTTTTTAGGTCACCAATTAATTCTATTCGAGAAAATATTTTTAGTTTCTTATGTTGCTCACCAATGATCCCAAGCAATAGTCTGACACTTTTTAATCTTACGGATAAATACCTAACAGAGTAATACTATTTCATTCTACTACAGAGCTCTTACAGTCTTAGAGCCCAGTGTGTCTCAGTCCCCAAACAGCTGCCCCAACAGAAGCCAAGCCCTGGGCTGGCAGCTGCCTCTCCAATGTTCCTTCTGCTTTTTGTTATGATTTCCAGTGAGTCAACAGGAAGGTATTCTGAGTAAAGAAGAAATAGAGGCTTTTAGACAGGACTTTCCTCCTCCCACAACCCCAAAAATACAGTTCTTGCCAAATGATCCAAGGCAATTTCCAATCCAATTTGCCACTCCTGTCTATGGGAGGTAACTTTTTAACAAACAAGAAAGTGCTACGAAGGAACACGTTTCTAAGCTGAATCAAAAGCAGAAATCAGGTTATGAAGAAGAGAAGCAATCAGGAAGGGTCCGACAAGCTACTTAGACACAAAAATACGTAAGACAATGGAGACTTTCCCTCAGGTGGTGGGTGCAAAGAGTCCAAAATAAGTGGCAGTAAACAGATCAAGTTCCCTCACAGACTTGAAAACTACACAAGTTTACTTAATGTCTCTGGGCACCAGCTAAGGACGTTGGACTGAAATATTACCACTTCAGCATCTGCAGAAGTTAAGAGCACTAGCTTCGGTGTCACAAGCCTGGGCTTGAATTCCAATACACGACCTTAGGAAAAGTGTTATCAACTCTATTTTTTTCCCTCTTTAAAATAAAAATACTGCCTATCTCACAATGTCATCTGTAAATTTCATCATCATTCCGCTTAATTAACAGTAGTTACTAATGTTGTTATTACTTTAAGAAGGAGAAGTACAACAGCAGCAGACTAATATGGCAGTTAAGAGAAAGGACTTCGGAGTCCTTGCCAAACCTGAAATCTGGATCAACCACTTACTAGATGAGTGAGTTAACCTCTCTGAGTTTTGCTTTCTTATCTGTGAAATGTAAGCACCTCAAAGGGCTTCAAGAATAGCTAAATAGATACAGCATGTAAAGTGCTTAGCACAGTGCCTTGCACATAGAAAGTGTGCAATAAGCGGTACTGATCATGACAATGAGAAAGAGGGGACAGCAAGGGGGAAACACTGACTTTGGGACAGACAGAAAATATTTTAGATCATGACTGCCTCGAAAATTGCAGGTTTCTGGTTTTTTGTTATGAGGGATTATTTTGGCTTTTGTTTAGTAGCCTTAAAGGCAAAGTCCTGAGGTTTCTATAATAAAGTACCTCACTGAAATAACTAATTCTTCCCAACACACAACTATTTTAAAAAAAAAATGGCCGGGCGCGGTGGCTCAAGCCTGTAATCCCAGCACTTTGGGAGGCCGAGGCGGGTGGATCACGAGGTCAAGAGATCGAGACCATCCTGGTCAACATGGTGAAACCCTGTCTCTACTAAAAATACAAAACATCAGCTGGGCATGGTGGTGCATGCCTGTAATCCCAGCTACTCAGGAGGCTGAGGCAGGAGAATTTCCTGAACCCAGGAGGCGGAGGTTGCGGTGAGCCGAGATCGCGCCATTGCACTCCAGCCTGGGTAACAAGAGCGAAACTCCGTCTCAAAAAATAAAAATTAAAATTAAAAAAAAAAAAAATGTTGGGCCAGGTGTGGTGGCTCACGCCTGTAACCCCAGCACTTTGGGAGGCCGAGGCGGGTGGATCACGAGGTCAAGGCATCAAGACCATCCTGGTCAACATAGTGAAACCCCGTCTCTACTAAAAATACAAAAAATTAGCTGGGCATGGTGGTGCGTGCCTGTGGTCCCAGCTACTCGGGAGGCTGAGGCAGGAGAATTACTTGAACCCAGGAGGCGGAGGTTGTGGTGAGCAGAGATCGCGCCATTGCACTCCAGCCTGAGTAACAAGAGCGAAACTCCGTCTCAAAAAAAAGAAAAAAAGAAAATGTTAATACAACATTCAAACTTAAGTAAACTCTTACTCTTCAAAATAAACCATAACCAGATCTTTCTTAAACATTTGTATGTTTAAGATGTTTTAAATTCACACACTGTCAAACCACAGAGATCAATCAGATTACTAGGAGACTTCTAGAAGAAAAATGAAGCAGCAGAGCCCTGATTCGATCAGGTAGGCCTCAGGCCCTCCAGGTTCCACTGGCACTTCACTGGGCTAGCTCAAAGATACAGTCTCTAGGCAACCAAGTCCTGAATTAAGCAAACAACCCCAGTAATATGAATCACTTCCGGATGTTCTCACTTGGCCTACCAGTGCTTTCTTACAAAAATACTTCTTGTCAAGGGGTTTATTTAGCACCAGCTAGAAACAACCAAGAGTTCATCAGATACCACAAGGCTTAAGAATGTTCAAAACAGGTTCCACTACCAACCAGTATCCCCAGAAGGGACACTATGAAGCAGAAGGAATTGTGCAGCAATCAGAGGCAGGTCACCATACTAAGCCGGAAAATGAAATTCTAGAACAAACCAACTTGGGTCCTCAACTGTATTGTTATTATTTTGTCATTCAGGGTATTAAAAATATAAAAACAGTTGCTCTGACCTGTAAGATGTGTATGCCAAATGAGGTCAAACTAATTGGTCACTTAGGCCAGCCAGACTTTTACCCAGCCTGGACTGGTGGACATTCCATAGACTCAGCTGCCTGGTTAACACTGGTTTTTCAGTCACATCTACTTCAACACCTATTGAATATAAGGGGAAGTGGTAAACTCTGTAACCCAACTCTTTTGGCTACCCGCTCCTTTTTTTCCACCTTGAAAGGATCTTTTATGTGCTACACTATTCTTCGTGAACTAAAAACAGATCATTTAAGCTATTAACAAGACTGGAAACGGACAAGGGCTTAATGAAAAAGAAAACCTGTAACAGGGCAAAGCAACTACCATTAACAGAACCGAGGAAAAAAACATCAAGACTGTAGAAAATCAAGTCAGTGCAACAAAAAAGATGTATGTAAGACACATACTTCGAATGCTTATTTAATATAAACAAAATGAAGAAGAGCCATAAAACAGACTATGCAGATCTAACTAATGATCAGAACTAATGAATTTGAACGAATCATTAAAGGCATAATGGACAATTTCCTAGAGCTAAAATAAACAAACAAGAGACGCTGTAAACCAAGAAGAGTCTCCACATTACAGGCAAAATTGCTAAGCCAATATCAACTCTAACATGATAACTGGGAAATGTTTATACCTCAAGGAACAATTCTCAAACAAATTTCAAGTCACAAAAAAGTTAAAAAAAAAATCAAGTTACTTGTTACAGACTTAAAATTAAGCTAGCTTCACATAAGCAAAGTCATATATATTTTTCTCAAAAAAATGAAATATGGTTCACCATAATTAAAAAGTCTAGAACTAGTTATACACATATATATAATTTGACAAAGTAGACATCAATTGCTAATAGGTAACAAACAGATGGTTTTTAAGTGATATTAGAGGCCTGTAATTCCGCCACTTTGGGAGGCTGAGGCAGGAGAATCATTCAAGACCAGAAGTTCGAGATCAGTTCCCCTTATATTCAGCATAACAAGACCCCATCTCTACAAATAAACAAAAAATAAGCCAACAGAATATTAAACTGAAATTTTTGGCAAGGTTTTAGAGAAATTAAACTATCTAGACTTTTGAGTTGATAGAAGAAATTACAAACAGAAAGATTAACATTTACACTCCATAATATTTAAAACACTGTACAATAAGGCCGGGCGCGGTGGCTCAAGTCTGTAATCCCAGCACTCTGGGAGGCCGAGGCGGGTGGATCACAAGGTCAAGAGATCGAGACCATCCTGGTCAACATGGTGAAACCCCGTCTCTACTAAAAAAAAATACAAAAAATTAGCTGGGCATGGTGGCACGTACCTGTAATCCCAGCTACTCAGGAGGCTGAGGCAGGAGAATTGCCTGAACCCAGGAGGCGGAGGTTGCGGTGAGCCGAGATCGTGCCATTGCACTCCAGCCTGGGTAACAAGAGCGAAACTCCGTCTCAAAAAAAAAAAAAAAAAAAAA